TCTGATGAAGGATGTTATATATTTTGGATGGCCTTGGGATGAGTACATTATCAGCAAATTTTAATTTTGGTTTAGTTTAGCATATATATATATATATATACATACACACACACACACATATATATTTATATATGCTAAATAATTAGTTAATTAGCTAAACTAGTTTTTATTTATTTTCTGCACCCCTATTAGATTTGGGATATTTACATTTTAAATAGAATTTAAAATCTTGATTTGCGTAATTTTTTTTCCAATATATAAACATTAAATATAAAAGAAGTTGCATAAATATTATACAAAATTATTTTTAGCCAAATTTAATCTATCACTCTGTATGAACTAATTACTGTAGTTTGGGACCAAACATTGGTTCAGTTACTAATAAACATATATTTACCATAAATTAAATAATATTTGTTTGTGTATTATTTTTCAGTAACTGTGTAGTTGAATGGTTGAGCTTGACAAATGCAGTTAACATTACAATTTGTGAAAAAATAGAAAGTGATTACAATGATACAAGTACTTGTCTACCCAACATTGTGTAGGTCCAAATGAAGTTACTTAGATTTTTTTGTATTGGGGGAAATCATGAAGTCACAGGGTTGCACTCAAAATGTAGGACAAAGCTAAATATTACATTTTGTAGGGTAATTAAAATTCATTAATAACATTTTGAAAGTGTGGTATAGATATCTGAGCAAGAAAATGACAGATGTTTTCAAAACAGATTATGTATTTTTATTTTGAGGACATCAGTTACAAAAAGAATATGACGAAGTGCTGTGCAACTATGTTACTGTTCAGCTTAACATTTGATCAACTTAGTTGTTCAACACAAAGACGGCAAGGCATGCTGATATGACATAAGGCAACTGGAGCTCTGTGTAGGCAATTTACAGTCTGTGAGATACAATCCTGAGATCTATTGATCAAAAGCATCAACATGTACAAAATACGCTCAAACAAACAATTGGCTTATGGCATGGAAGTCCTGGGTTTACAGGTTCACTGTTTGAATTTCCCAAGGTGTTCTCTTGAGATGATGAGCCTTTGGATTTGCGCTGTCCCTTCATAAATCTGTGGATGCAGACAATAAGACATTAGACACATTTTAGCATCTTTACCAATTCAAATAAACAAGGTTGGGTCTACAATCCCTGCTAGCAGGGCATTTGGGATCTGGATCTGTGCGGGCCAGCAGGAAGTACCTATAAATGCAAACAGAAGGGTTTATAATGAATCCAAAACACAGTTATGAATTACTGAAGTAGTTTACCTACCAGTTTGCTTTTCCTCCATTGGTGATCCACATTTTCTGACCATTGACCACATACTCGTCTCCTTTCTTAACAGCCCGGGTCTTTATCCCAGCCACATCAGAGCCAGCTCCCGGCTCGGTCACACAGTATGCCTGTCGACACAGTCACATTTTGATAAGCACAAGCGGATGTCTATGTACTACTAAAAGGAATGCTTCATAAATCATAAAAATATTAATGATTAGAAAAACGATGACACACTTACACACATTAGTGGTTCTTCTGCCATTCTGCCCAAATATTTCTTCTTCTGGGCATCATTACCAGCAATAATGACAGGCATTTGCTGCATGGAAAAACCACATTAAAATGTAACTTATAACATAAGTTCTGGCATAAGTCCTATGCACAAATTACCATTTAATTTAAATATTAAATGAAGCCTACTTGAAAATCTGTTCATAAAACTCCACTTACTCCCAGAGAGTTTGCCTCAATGGCTGTCTGTACTCCAGTGCAGCCAAAGGCCAGTTCCTCTGTGATGAGACAGGCATCAAATATGCCCAGACCCATTCCACCTGGAACATATGGCAACATCCAACATGGTCAGAATTAAAGGAATAGCTGTCCTCATGTTGTACCAAACTCCTATGACTTACTTTCTTCCATTAAACACAAAATTTTAATTTGTGAAGAATATCTTCGATACTCTTTTCAATATCATGCCAAGAAGGAAGCCTGAGGTTGCCTAGTCTCAGCCTAATGCATCAGACTTTCAACCAAAATGGGAAACACTTTGGGAGTTTCAAAGTTGTCATCCGATTGTTTGAATTCTACAGGATTTCCGGGAGATTTGTGTGTTGCATTCTTTAAAAGCCCACCTGGAAACAAAGCCTTAGTGAGGCCAAACCCCTTCACAAAAGAAGAAAGCTGTCGTGTTTACAACTATGACAATGAGCGCTTGTCAGGATCAATTAAAAGCTGAACTTTCAAAGGTATGTGAAGTTCATAGCATAGTCTCTTGACCACTTAAGACGACATTCTTGATTAATGATTGGTTGCACGCCGGTCTGTTATTGTAGGGACATCGACTTTACATTTTCACACCCCTAAACATGACTCTGAACAGAACAAACTGTGATTGCTTTACATGTCAGTCAGATGTCCAATGAAAACTGCAATGGGGTCCAGACCTTCTGCCATCAGTCTGAAGGTCTTGCTACGTGAGACTAGATGGTGCCAAGCTCTAAACTGCCATAAAATACACCATAAAAGGGTTTCGCATGACTTTTGTGCCTCATTTAATCTATTAACATCCTAAATGTCAGTCTGTTCCCAAGCTTTCATATGGTTTCAGATATGATTTTGTAGTCAGATATGGACTACTTTTATGATGCTTTTATGGTATAATTGCATAGAAATAAGCAATCATTAGTACATTATTCAAATGTCTCCTTTTATGTTTCACAAAAGAAAGTAAGTCATACAGGTTTTATAGTCTTTAAAATACCTACCACAGTCCTCTGGAATATGTCCATTTATTAGACCCAACTCCCATGCTCTCTTAATGAGAGGAAATGGATACTGCAAGGAGGAAATCAGAGATTATTTTTATTATTATTCAGTGTTTCCCCTAGGTTTACGGCTTTGAGGGTTCCGTTTTTTTTTTTTTTTGTCTCCTTTTTAATGGTAAAATATTATTAATATAGTGTATAAGTATTGTCTGAATGCATCAGACTGCAGTTGTCAGCAGCTTGTACCTTTCTGCCTGGCTGGACTCCTGGGGTGTCAGCTTCAACAACGAAGCCTGTGAAAGCCTTGCTAGCAAAAGAAGAAAGCTGTCGTGTTTACAACTGTGACAATGAGCGCTTGTCAGGATCAATTAAAAGCTGAACTTTCAAAGGTATGTGAAGTTCACAGCATAGACTCTTGATGACTGAAGACGACATTCTTGAATAAATGACTGGTTGCACGCCGGTCTGGTACCATAAGGATATCTACTTTACATTTTCACGCCCCTGAACATGACTTTTAACAGAAAGAACTGTTATTACTTTACATGCCAGTCAGATTGCCTTTTGGCAGCCCTTGGCCAATGAAAACTGCAATGGAGTTCAAACCTTCTGCGATCAGTCTGAAGGTCTAGCTTTGCGAGACTAGACACTGCCAAGCTCTAAAATGCCATAAAAAGCACCATAAAAGGGTTTCATCTGACTTTTGTGCTACATTTCAGCTAATAACATCCTAAATGTCAGTCTGTTCCCAAGCTTTCATATGGTTTCAGATATGATTTTGTAGTCAGATATGGACTACTTTTATGATGCTTTTATGGTATAATTGCATAGAAATAAGCAATCATTAGTACATTATTCAAATGTCTCCTTTTATGTTTCACAAAAGAAAGTAAGTCATACAGGTTTTATAGTCTTTAAAATACCTACCACAGTCCTCTGGAATATGTCCATTTATTAGACCCAACTCCCATGCTCTCTTAATGAGAGGAAATGGATACTGCAAGGAGGAAATCAGAGATTATTTTTATTATTATTCAGTGTTTCCCCTAGGTTTACGGCTTTGAGGGTTCCGTTTTTTTTTTTTTTTGACTCCTTTTTAATGACAGCTGGCCATCTTCTCTCCTCCTTCTCTCCTCTTACAGAAGATGACGTCTCTAAACTTATCCTCTCCAGCCTTCCTTCCAAGGACCCCCTCATAATTATAACCATGATTAAGCATATGCTTACTTTAGTTTCTACTCTCAGATGCCATTGGAACCTCCGGTTTAATTTTTTTGGATTCTGTGTTTTTTTTTTTTTTTTTCCCCGTTTTGATTTTTCTGGACTCTGTTTCAATGGTTAAATTAAATTGTAGTAATCAAAAAGCATGTCTCAATTAAAATCATGAAACAAACAATTTAACATCAATTTATTCAAAGTTTAACAAAAATTACATGTTTAGGGCCCTATGAAAGGTTTTATTTTTTCCAACCTTATGTTTTATTGTTACCAAATTCTGATTTAGCATGTCTAATTATTTGAAAGCATAAAAACAAGTTTCATTTATTCTTACAATAGCCTTATGATTTTTTGCTCCGAAATTCTGTGTTGTGTATTTATATTTTTAAGGCATAAAATATCCATTTAATCTATCTTTTAAGTAATGAAAATTAAACAAATTTTATTTTTTGGAAAATAAAGGGTCATTTAATATTACAATTAAAATATTGAAGAAATATTATATGATTATTCCTTAAAAATAAGGTTTTAATAATTTTAGTAGTAGCAGCCTGTTAGGTACATTCTACTGAACAATAGTAATATATTTCTGCTAAACCGAACTTTTATTTTGACGGGTTGCCGTGAATACCTTTACATTTCTGTGTGTATATGATTTGAGGATAGTTTTACTCAAATGAAACGGTCAAATGCTCATGAAGTGACTCTCAGAGCAGTTCTGGAGATGTTGTTCATGTATTTATGTCCTCATTTAGTGAGACGGCAGACACTAAAATCACCGGAAGCGTCACGCGCGCTTCAGTACAAGCCTTGTAAACAAAACCACACATCTGTGCCATTCATTAACACAGAGACACGAAGAATTCATATTTAAATAGTGGTTTTGAGGCTTAATATTTACAAATACTAGTGGGAGTGTGCTCACTTGTGTGTAAATAAGATAAATAACATAAGGCTATTTAGTTTGTTTAATAAAAGAACAAGGTATAGACCTGTTCTATCGGAAAGGTAACTTTAAATGACTTCCGTTGTGATCTGGCGCTATAGAGAAAATATAATTTAATAATATAAAAATAAATAATATAAAAAATATTTATATATAATTATTATGTAATCCCCCTAATATAATGGCAGGGGAAACACTGTTATTTATTTATTTTTTTTGCAAATCTAAAAATATGTAAATGCAAAATGGTGGACATGTGGATTTAGATAACCTACTTCACCACTTCTGTCATATGACGGGGCAGCTGGGACAATCTCCTCCCGTGCAAACTTTCTTGCCACCTCCTGGAACTCTTTCTGCTGGTCAGTTAGTTCTGTTAAATTGAGGAATAGTGTGTTGGGATGGTGTAACAGTTGGTATTTTTTTAAACACAGTGAGCAGAGGATGATTATACATACCTCTTGCTTCAACCTTCTTTTCTGTTTTGCATTAAACAGCCCACTGAATAGAAATTATTAATTCATTCAAAGAGTATACTACTTTATTAATGCTATCAATTAATTAAAGAGCTTGACAAAACCAAAATATGTAGGCTTATGAGGGTTTGAAAAGTCTGAGGCCCCGTCGAATATTAATTATTTTAATAATCCTAATACTTATGTAAAAGATAGGATTTTTGAAAAGAAACATCATGACTTAAAATAAGAAAAAAAACGAAAATACCAAATACTAAGAAATTCAAAATATAATATTTATATTAGTGTATAATATGTAAATAATAAAAATGGAAATAAATAAAAGATTTCAACATTTTCAGTTTTATTCAATTTTAAATGTAGTGTAACAGGCAGTGTATCCAGTAACGTTAGGGGGAATGAATGAGTAAACACCTTTTATACAGTCTATGGTAAACACACATAGGCGGATCATCCGCCCTTTAGACCTGTGGAGATCCATAGCTGTCTTGACAGATGCCAGTATCCGTGAGAAAGCTCTGGCGGGAGTAACAGTGATCAACTGTATCTAGACTTTTGTCGTACGGTTCGCTTATTACATCGGATCTCAGAAAAAACGGCCAAACCGGGAAATAAAAGGAAAGCATATGTGAGTGTAATGCTCGCTGACGGCCGAACCGCTCAGTGTTGGTGTTGACACATCCTCAGCTAGCTCTCCGGCTAGCGCACTCAAACTTGAGGAGATGTCTCCGGACGACAACCCTAACACACTCCTGGGAAGAATACGGTTTTTAAACAAGTGCATTGAATGTTTCCGAAAAAGTGAGCCTTTGCCGGAGTCCCTGTGTTACGACAGGGGGCTTCCTGGTCCGTGACGTCACGGCAGTAAGGTGTTGGTGTGTTTGTGTGGCAATCAGAATTTTCCACTCTTCCGATCAATGGGCATTCAAATGCGAGGCAGCCTATTTTGTTTTGTTTGTCACTGTGATTGTCTGACTCCTCTGTCCATCACAGGAGCAGCTGGAGGAGTATCGTGCTGGTCTGGACATAGAGGAGGGCTGGATACTGGTGTGTAAACACACAGAAGGTGGAGACAGGCTTGTGCCAGTGGAATCTCCTGACACTATCAGCCGACAACAGCAGCTGTTTGGATATGACCACAAGCCTTGTAGCAGGTTTGTGTCACCCTCGGCCAACATTCTCTAATTCACTGATCCATGATGTACATATTTAATTTCATTGAATCATAAAATTGTGAGTAAAATGCCGCGAGAAAAACGTTCGAAAATCTGTGGTCAGTATTTTTTTTAAAGGGGTCATATGATGCTATTTCAATTTTTCCTTTCTCTTTGGAGTGTTACAAGCTCTTGGTGCATAAAGAAGATCTGTAAAGTTGCAAAGACTAAAGTCTCAAATCCAAAGAGATATTCTTTATAAAAGTTAAGAGTCAACCACGTCTACCTAAAACGGCTCGTTCTAACACGCCCCCACATTTCTACGTCACGATGTGGGAAGATTTGCATAACGCCACCCAAATGTTCACGCAAAGAAAGAAGGCGTAACTTTTATTCTCGCTGTAGTATTGTTGCTGCCGCCGCCACCATGTTGTGAGGAGCTGTGTGTTTCGTTGTGAAAGCGAAACTAACTACTTTGTTTGGTCTTCCAAAAGAGGACATGACTAGAAATCAGTGGTTAAGTTGTATTTACAACACTGTTCCAGAACAGTTCAACCCAAATATTCAGATGTGTGCAGCACATTTTATGGAGGACTGTTTCCTGATCCTGGTAGAGTAGACTACAATGCCGGCTGTTCTGACTCACAGACTGCAAGTACGTTTTTTATATTAAAGAATTTGCCACTGATGATTCAAACGCGAGTTTTGAGCAGTGTAGAGTAGCGCTTGTTGTTTGTCATTTCTCTTGTCATTTTCCGTCACACGCTTGAGGTATTCGGCCAATCACAACGCACTGGATAGCTGGCCAATCAGAGCACACCTCGCTTTTCAGACTGATGAGCTTTGTAAAAATCGATGCGTTTCAGAAAGGCGGGGCATAGAGGAGAAACAATAATGTACAGTATGTGGAAAATAATGTGTTTTTTGAACCTTAAACCGCATAAACACATTTCATTACACCAAATACACAAAATAATGTTCTTTTTAGCAACATCATATGACCTCTTTAAAGAAATGAATACTTTCATTCAGCAAGGATTGAACAATGAATCAATAGTGGCATTAAAGACATTTCTGTTTTCAAATAAATGCTGTTCTTTTGAACTTTAATTAATCAAATGATCGTTTAAAAAAAAAAAAAAAAAAGGATAAGGATTTCCACAAAAATGTTAAACTGTTTTCAATAATGTCTTATATGCACAAAAATCTGCATATTCAGATGATTTCTGAAGGATCATGTGACACTGAAGACAGGAGAAAGGCTGATGAAAATTTAGCTTTGCCAACCCAGGAATAAATTACATTTTAAAATAGATAACAGCTGTCTTAAATTGCAATAATATTTTACAATAATACTGTTTTAATTGATTTTTGATTGATTAATGCAGCCCTGGTGAGCATAAAAGACTTTTCTAAATAATATAGAATCCTACAGACCACAAATCTTTGAACTGTAGTATTTGCTTTAAAGTAAAAAAAAAAAAAAAAAAAAAAAAAAAAGGTTTTGCGGTTTTAAGATAACACCTATTTTATTTATTTTAAAAATAAGCTGCTATTAAAATTTAACTAGGCAGTCTGACATATTCAGCTTAATGTTTGAATTCACAGTCTGTGTGAAACATGTATATTAAAAGATATTAAAGTGTTGATTGTAAATAGCTGTATCCTGACAATTCATTGGATGTTAAGTACCAACATTTTTCCTAAACTGCTTTGTAGGTGGGAGCAGGTGGTGGATGTGGAAAACTGCTTACACATGGGTGTCAAACCCAAGGTGGCAGAGCCGGACGAGGGCGCTGTTCGAAAGCTGAGGTGAGTGGATGCTTTGACACAAGAATTTAAAGGAAAATATTCTGCATGTTTGCATCACATGACTTGTATTTGGCGAACAAGAGTCTAATTCATATATTGTAATATTAATAAGCGGTGAAGCAGTTTTGTCAAAATATTTTGTTTCTAAGAAATAATAATAATAAAAGATTATTCCAAACTAAGATTTTCATTCTTCTTATGAGGCGTTTTTCTTCATAGTAGCAGAGGTGTATCTGACTCATTGCATGTGCAGTATGAATTGCATTTTTTTAAATAAACGAATAGACCTTGAAAAATGAGCTTGATGTTATTGACCCGGATCTGCCTAATCCTTTGATATACTGTATGCAAACTCTGTCTTCCAGGTATGTACCTCCTACGTGGACGTTTGAATGCGATGAGGACCTTGTACACTACTTCTATGACCACATTGGGAAAGAAGATGAAAACCTTGGCAGTGTGAAGCAATGCGTGACCAGCATTGATGTGTCTTCTAGTTCGGTATGTGAGGGCTTAGTATTATTCTACATTCATTATAGTGAAGAGCAGAGAGCCGCGAACATATCAAGTGTTCAAGACTAGTAAGTGAGTTTTTCTGTTTGAAGGAGGACCCCAGTGGGGGTGCAAGCTGCCTGACAGATGGAGACACTGAGACCTACTGGGAGAGTGATGGCATGCAGGGACAGCACTGGATCCGGCTGCACATGAAGAGAGGCACTGTGGTCAAGTAAGGAGAACTGATCTGCCAGTCATTGTAATTATCATGGACTTTGTTTACAATGCACTCAAATCCAATTTGGTTTTCAAATTCGACCTTTGGGACTGACTGTCTGCACTGTCATTCTGCAAGTGATGAAATCAGAACAATGTTTCTACATCATTGTATGAAATCCGATCTGATCGTTCAGATTTTTGGGGGATTTCATACCATTTGATCTGTCTTTTGCTCATCAGATTACAGAAAACTAAATAGATTTGAGTCAGATTGAAAAAGCTGATCATAAACAACATTAATTATTTTCTTTTCCTTTAGCAAACTGATATTAACAGTGGACTCAACAGATGATAACTACATGCCCAAAAGAGTGACTGTTTATGGTGGAGAGGGAGACAATCTCAAGAAATACAGTGATGTAGCAATAGATGAGTAAGTCATTTTTATTATTTAAAGCTTAAAGGGGTCATAGGATGCTACATGCACTTTTACAAGTAGTTTGAACTGAAATGTGTGTTGGCAGTGTGTACACAACCACCCTATAATGATAAAAATCCACCCGGTGTTTTTTTTTTTTTATCTGGTTAAATGTTTTCCCCTTTCTCAAATCGAGCCGATCTCAGATGC